CGGACGCCGGTGCTCCTGAGCTGGCGGCAGCAAGCTCAGCTGTGCTGATTGCAAGGCCCCTGGGGGTATTGCCGAAACTCGGCCTCCCTGTGCCCGGCGGGGCGAGGGGTGAGAGAAGGGAACACGCCCTGCTCCACCGAAACACAAGGGCAGGTCAGGACGTGGTCTAACAGCGGAAGGTGCTGCCAAGCAGCGGATCACCGTGGGCACCGGAGCTGAAGGGAAGGTACAAAGGTCACAGCTACCCCACTGCAACTCGGCCAGGGTGCTTTGAAAGGAGGGCTTTCCTTGCCTGAAACGAGCCACGGGATCTACAATGACCACAGCTGGCCAAGACCTCCTCGTACATGCTCCTGCCAAGACAGTCCCTGCGGCTCCGCAGAGCTCCCCGGCACGGGGCTGGGGCGTCACATCGCTGCGGAGTGAGGCGAGGACCACCTATTGCCATTGTAGAAAGCCCACGGCCAGGCCCCAGCTGGAATACTGCGTCCAGTGTTGGGCACCTTACCTCCGCAGGGATGGACAAATTCTGGAGGAGATCCAGAGAAGAGCTACTAATAGATATGGAGGGTCTTAGCTATGTTGATAGGCTGAAGAGCTTAAGCCCATTCAGTTTGGAGAGGAGGAGGAGGAGGCTACGAGGGATCTTCGCAGTGTGTGAGCACCTAAAAGGGGATCATAAAGACTCGGGTCAGGATCTAATCAGACTTAGCAGCAACAGGAAACAACCCCCAGAGGCTCCTGGCAGTGTCCCTCCCACCCCAAGGTCTCTGTGGGTTTGGCCTGACAGCTCTGCTGGGGATCTGCGGGGCCCACGGGAGCTGCCGTGCAGCACGGAGGCCCCCCCACCCGCGGCGTGCCTTCGCCTCACTCACGTTTGCGAGCCTGCGCCTCGAACTGTGACAGGTTCTGCCGGGTTGCCAGCCTCACCTCCACCTTGTCCCCGTTGAGGATTTTGCCGGGCAGGAGCTCCAGGAGTTTGTGAACAGAGTTTTCAGAGGCGACCACCACCTCTGCGTACCTGCGGGAAAGCCCGGCGGTCAGCCAGCCCCAAGCGGTTCACCCAC